TATGCCGTCTCCTCACACAACAGATACACTTCACACCCATTGTCAAGTAACGTTATCCATTGCGGGTCATTTACAAAAGGCTGTGTCAGAGGGAAACTGACTTATGGTGGGCCCCCGTCGGTAGGTCCATCCTCTGTAGCCTCCTTCATTGCGCGGGAGCCTGCGTGGGAGTTTTCCAGTCTCCATGATGCCCCTTGTTTGTCCGCCGAAAAGCATCCTATCTCTGGGCGCAGATACTTTGCTGAAGCTTCTTGGTTTTTTGCATGCGTTTGCAGTTTCTGATTATATGTCCCGATTCACTATAAGAGAAGTAGATGAATTTTTTGGAACCCGTCTGAGGCTGCCTGCGAGCACGGGCAGTTTTCAGGCTTTGGATTCTCGCTTCCCTTCGACTGTGGAAGCTAGGGCAGTTAACACAGCCCTGGCATTCATGGGCTGTATCACCCAATTCTGCTCTTCCTTTTGAGCTTAGGGGTTGCGTTAATTTACTCCTCAACGCTGAAGAAGTATACCATAGGTGGGAGCCTCACCGTTCAGCTGCTTAATCGCTGAGGCGCTGCCCACTTTACGACCAACTTGCGTAGCACTTTGAGTAACCCTGAGATTTTCCAGTGATGAAGCAGCAACTCGCTTACGTTGTGGCTTTTGCAAGCCAAAGCTTCATACGTCTCAATTCACCACTCTATTCATAGACTGATAGGAGGCATGCTTCAGCTTTTTCGTTTCTCCCAATATTTTTTGCTGGGCTGATTATGCCACATAACGATGAGTGAGGGCATGTATGAGACCTTGAGCTGTGAGAATGTCTTCAAGCAGACATATTTCTGAGTATAGATAGAGCCGCCAGTAATGTTTCTACCTTTCCAATAAGCGCGCCAAAAAAGCACTCATTTCTCTTAACCTAAATTTACAAAACGACGTATTTCTCCCATTCCCTGATGAAATTAACAGGTACATGCCCTACCTCATGGTCGTCATGCTTTTCTTGTTTCTTTAGCTTGATCGATGGATCCATACAAATTTTGTAGGCTACCAAGATCCTGCCTTTTTACAAGCTAGGGAGCGACTCTGTTATAAACAGGCTGCAGGGCGCCTTTTAGCGCCACCAAAAGGCATTGTACCGCCGACTACTTACATTGCCAAATGGTGTGTTTCTCAGACTGTTGGCAAAGAAAATCAGGTTAGAGAATTACCAAGTCACCTGATCGAAACCAGACAAATGTTGAAGGGATCCCTGATATCCCATTGCAGTTACAGCAAGTGGATGAGCGGGTAAGAGCCGCATCAAGCCAAACGGTGCGATCAACTGTGCATCATACCATCTACGGCCTCAATGGAGAGAGATCCAACTACCGACCCAATACATGCTCCGTAGAAAGCACCGAGTCGTCTCCAAAAGGAGGCCCTGCTCCCCCTTCCCCCGTTTTTTGTGAACTCCAAGAGGAGGGGGGAGGGGCAGCCGAGCTGCGCGTTGCTGCACCGTCTTAGCACTTGAAGCATTCAGGCCTGCTGCCTATAGCGTCTAACGCCCGTGCGCACACACGACACTGCGTCTTCTTGTCTCACGCTAACAGTACTCTGAAATTACAAAGGAAAATGAGTAGACAAACGAATGGGTCAACTCTTCACTAATTTGTAGCTATATATAACCGGTGTAGTACGAAGTGTGTGGGTGTGGCATAGCCGACTGCAGGTGGTTCCGTCTAGTGCACATCCAAAGCCCTAGGCGCGAGTTCTAATCAAGATACGCAAACAGTGTCTATGACAAAGGATCTAAGGCCTATCTCGCTTTCATTTTCGGGGGCAGTGGGGGGATTACGGTTAACTAGAGAGCTTGCCCCTGTGCGTCGACGATGGGTAAACACACCCGTGACGCACATTAGAGAGGATTCCTCAGATGTGGCTACTGCCAAGAGAGGTTTCGAGACAACAAACCCTAGATCTCGAGAAAATTTCCTGCAAAGAAAAAGCAATCGCCGTTCTTTGAGTTGGTGTGTGCTTGGAAGCTTGCTGCACAGCAGAAGCCTCTCATTGGTCCCTCTGCACTGTATGTGCCCCACCGCAGCCGCAGCAGCGGCTGCAGCAGCAGGAACTGCAAGAAAACGGCTGCTTGCTATTGTCCTTTTGCGGGCGTTGTTTATCTGTCTGCTTTCGCCAAGTTCGCAAGGCTCTCATACTGCGTTTTCACTGCCTCCAAGCGTGCGCGGCAGCAACTGCAGCCTGAGGTGGTACAAAAAAATTTCCGCCTGTAAAGCTGCAGTGCTTGCTGCTGCTGCATCCGAGGCTCCCGATTGCGTGTCTAGGGTCCTCAGTGCCCTCGAAGGCAGCAGCGGCAAAACTTCGGAGCAGAAGAGGAGGCAGCCGCATGCTTCAGGTTGCTCTGCTTCAGCAAGAAGTAGACCACGCGCGGAAGGATCCCCTGACGCCTTGCACGATTGCCTCGATCTCCCCCGTAGGTGGGTGCCTGAAGCAGTAGCAGCTCCAGCAGCAGCAGCAGTGTCTGCTCCAACAGCAGCAGCCGCAGGATGAACGGCGCGCATATTCCAGAGGCTGTCGCTGCTGCGACTTCCCCGCCATCGAATGGGGTGGCCCTTGTTGCAGCCTCGGCAGTTGTAGAGGACTGCATCGAAGCGGCATCGACTGCAGTGGCTGTCGCAGCACCGTGTGAGGCTGCACGTCAAGCAGTCACATCGGCAGACGCGCCAGCAAATGCCGTCGCAGCACCCGCAAGCGGTCCTTGGAAGTGCAGTGTCTGCCTTGTCTCGAACGAGGCCACATGCGATGTCTGCCCTTGCTGTGAAACTGGAAGAGACGGATCGAGAGTACGACTTTAAGATGCCCTTTTTAGCCGCTCTTCGGCACTTTTAGCTCGAGGCTCTCTAGGGGGAGAAGGTGTGGTCGTTAACCCCTCGGGAGCCATTGATGTGAATCCGTTGATGTAAATTCGTTGATGTACGCCCGTTGATGTATGCCCGTTGATGCATGCCTTTAGTTTTTCCAATTCTTCTAAGGCCTAGCTGAGCAGCAGCGAAAGGGAACAGGGTAGGGAGAGGCAGTGCAGTGCGTGTGTTACCTGCATAGCCTTGCGTCGCTGCTCGCGGCATTGCAGCAGCGGATGGATGTCAAACAGCCGTACGACGCAGGAGTGTGTATATATATATGTCTATTTATGTAACTCTGTGGTGTGGATTCGTCTGTATGTGTGGTAGCGGGTCGTGGGGGGGAGCCTGTTGGCTTGAGCTGCGTGTTTCGCAGACAAGCTTCCCTCCCAGGCTACATGTTCATGTGTGTACGTATATATATGTGTGTATACATGTATATATGTGTACATGTATGTATATATGTTTGTGTGTGTATATATATATACCTATGTGTATATATGGATGGATGTATATATATGTGTGTCTACATATGTATAAATCTCTGTATATATATGTATGTATACATATGTATATGTTTGTGTATATATATGTGTATACATATGTATAAATCTGTGTATATATGTGTATATATAAGTGTGTATACATATGTATATATCTATGTGTATATATATATATGTATATATCTATGTGTATATATATATATATGGATATATAGGTGTGTATACATATGTACATATGTGCATGCTGTATTCCTGTGGATTGTGTTGCTAAATTTTGGTGCAGCAAGTGCCGAAGGCATCCCCTGCCCTCTCGTCGGGCAGCGGTGGGAGCAGTGTGTTTTTGGAGGGGCTTTTTGAGGGGGAGACGAAGAATGGCATTCCTCGGAAGAGTGCTGGATTTACACCGGTGCTTGATTCGGCAGCCACGGCAGCATGTGTATTCTCGCTTCAGTCGGTGGGAGGCGTGGAGCAGCAGCTAGCGCAGCAGCAGGAGCAGCGGCAGTCCAAGGCACGGGGGCAGACATCGGAGAGTCTTGTCAAGGACCGCAGTGCCACTCCTTCGTTCCTCCCGCAGCAGGAGCAGTCAAGGCAAGTCAAGGGATTTGTCTTCGTCGCTCCTGCTGCCTCTTCGCAGGAGCAGCAGCATCGCGTGGACGGCAGCGCAGCGGAAGTCGAGAAGCGACAGCACCAGCAAAAAGAAGAGGAGGAAGAGAAGCAGCGACGGCAACAGCAGAAGAAACAGCAGGAAGAAGAAGCGGCTACGCGGCTGGAAATCCCCGTGTTGTCTGCAGCCCAGCCTCTCAGCGCAGTGTACATGATGGGATCGGGGGAGCTCGAGCAGATCCCCTTCTTCACCCCTGAGGAAGAGGGGGGGGGCGAAGTAATGCAGCCTCGCTTGATTCCACTGCAAGCACAGATGCAAGTGGTGGGCGCTGCTAGCGGTGCTCTTCACACGGTGCTGCTGCTGGCCAGTGGTGCATGCTGCTCCTTCGGATGCAACGATGAAGGAGCGCTTGGGAGGCTCTGCAAAGACACTCCAGCAAACGAACCAGGTAGCTGGCGAGGGGGGAAGGGAAGCGGAGGGGAGGGGAGATAGCGGAGGGGGGGGGGAAGTGTGTGGTTGGGGACTGGGAAGAAAGAGGCGCTTCAAATACGCCGATTTGTACGTTTTTCTACGACGCACGCGCCAACCAACGTGTGGCGCTTCAGCGAACCGCCTTCTGCAGAAAGGCGCTGCTCAAAGTGCTCCCAATTACCCGCTTCACGGGGAAGGAGAAAGGGCTTGATGTTATTGTGGCTGTATGTGTGTGTGTGTGCCGCTGTCGTCTTTTCTCGCTTTCTCTCTCTTGCTGGAGCTTTGAGTTTGCGTTTGAAAGGGGACGCGCAAAATGCGTAGTTCGTTGTCGGAGGGGAGACGGCCGCTGTGGTTGCCTCCGATCGATACGCGCGGTTGCTTTTGCGGGAGCAGCATCTGTGTGTGTTTGTGTGTATGATTGTTTGTGTTTATGTGTTTGTTTGTGTGCTTATGTGTATGTTTGTGTGTGTTTATGTGTATGTCTGTGTGTTTACTTATGTTTGTGTGTTTATGTGTATGTATGTTTGTGTGTTTCTGTGTCTGTTTGTGTGCTTATGTGTATGCTTGTGTGTTTATGTGTGTCTGTTTGTTTATGTGTATGTTTGTTTGTGTGTTTATGCAGGTTTATGTGTATGTTTGTTTGTGTGTTTATGTGTATGTTTGTGTGTTTACGTGTATGTATGTTTGTGTGTTTATGTGTATGTTTGTGTGTTTATGTATGTTCATGTGTTTATGTGCATGTATGTTTGTGTGTGTTTATGTGCATGTATGTTTGTGTGTGTTTATGTGTATGTGTGTTTGTGCGTTTATGTATGTTCATGTGTTCATGTGCATGTATGCTTGTGTGTTTATGTATGTTTGTGTGTGTTTATGTGTATGTCTGTTTGTGTGTTTATGTATGTCTCTTTGTTTATGTGTATGTCTGTTTGTTTATGTGTTTATGTATGCTTGTGTGTTTATGTGTATGTTTGTTTGTCTGTTTGTGTGTTTATGTTTGTTTGTGTGTTTATGTGTTTATGTCTGTTTGTGTGTTTATGTATGTTTGTGTGTGTCTATGTGTCTTTGCAGGGCTGGTGGAACTGCCGGATGCGGCTGTCTCGGTGGCATGTGGCGATTCGCATTCGGCCTTTGTGACTGCGCAAGGAAGGTTGCTGCTGTGTGGCTCTTATCGCGTAAGCTGAGACATGATTTCTTCGCAGAGGATTTCTGTGTATAGCGGGAGGGCACTCTTTCGCCTGCTGCATAGCAGCAGCAGGAGGTCTTGGGTGTATTAGAGGCTGTAAGCGTAGCAGCAGGAGAAGAAATAGGGGCAGTGCTAGAGCTGTTTTGGAGGGGAGGATGAGTAGGCGACAGGTTTTTGTTTCGCGCGATGCCTCCTGCAGGTAGTCTCCTGCCTGAAGGGGGGGGTTTTCGTTTTCTGCACGTAGCAGGACGGTTTCATGTTGCTTGTTTGCCACTTTTGCAGGATGCAAGTGGTGCCTTAGGCTTTGCGCGTTTGGGCAAGGGATCGCGTGTCATGCGACAGCTTTTGCCTGTGGATGTCTTTGCATCCTTGAGTCTTCCCATTCAGATAGCCGCTGTCGTGAGTCTCAGCCTGCTGCGCTCTGTCCGCCGCTCCTTCCCCCTGTCTGCGCTTTCGCAGCTTAGCTTTTCCGCTTCTTCTCCTGATCGTTGAAGGGGAACGGGCAACAGCGCGGCAGCGACTTTCTTCCTGGATCCGCTAGCTTTCACTTGCAGGCTTTTTCCCTGCCGTCTGGAAATTTTTCTGCCTCTCACGCGTCCTCTGTGCAGTCCGTGTGTGTGTGTTTGTGTGTGTGTATGTGTGTGATCTGCACACAGGCCTGTGGGGAGGATCACACTGTCGCTCTGGAGAGAGGGGGGGAGGCTATATGGCTATGGGGTAGCAATGACTTTGGTCAGCTTGCTGTTGGCTCGGCCGGAGCTTCTGCCTCCGCTGCAGCAGCTGCCGTGTTAGACGCTAACAGTGGAGCGGCTGCTGCAGCGGCGAAAGCTGCTGAAGTAGCGGCATCCGACGCTGCGCAGGAGGAGAAACAGCGTCTCCTAGAGCCCACCAGGCGACCGCTTGAGAGGTAGATAGAATAGCAGATGGACTACACCCATTTGCATGCACGTACACCTCGTTTCTGAAGAGCCTCATGCGGCTCTTTGTGGGGTGGCCTTCATTCACCACCACTGGGGTTGTAGTAGGCCTTGTCGTGTTTCTGCCTGCCTTCCAATTATGCACTCTGAAGGCAGTTGTATCTTCTACCGATCCACTTTTCTGCGTGCTTGCATGCTTCCATAAATGCCTACTTACTTGCATGTCTCCATAAATACTTACTTACCTCCCTGCTCACTTGCATACTTCCATAAATACCTACCTACCTACCTGCCTACCTCCTCGCATTCTTCCATAAATACCTACCTACCTACTTGCCTACCTTCCTACCTACCCGCATACTTCCATAAAAATCTACCTACTTATTTACTTGCGTACTTCCATAAATACCTACTTACCTACCTGTTTGCATACGTGTGTCGCCCCTCTGTCCGCCCATCTCTATGCTTCTCGCTCGACGCCTTCCGCCGTTGCGTTTGCATGCACTATAGTCTCGCATGCGCTGCGCAGGAGTGTGTGTGGTGCCTACTGCTGCCGCTTTCCGTGTTGCTGCAGCCTCGGCCTCTCTGACGAAATGCAAGCGATTACTGCAGTGTACTGCGGCCGTTGCACAACGTTCATTGCTGCGTCGCCAAAGGCAGCAGCGGGAGCGACTCCAGAAGCGAGCGAGACGTTTCTCTTTGCCTGTGGTCGTAACACGCAGGGAGAGCTTGGTCTGTGGCTTTCGGAGCAGCAAGCTCCTCCGGGGGAGCAGGCTGTGGTGTGCGAGTTCAAGAGAGTGCAGCTGCTGCAGGAGGGGATCTTGAAGAACGTCTGTGGAGGGCAGTTTTTTACCCTCGTTCTTACCGCAGGCGGGAAGATCTACACCTTTGGGCAGGAAAACTTCCTCGGTAGGGTTTCTTAGCGGTTTTTTGCGCGAAAGACTCTCTGTTTCTGCCGAAAGGCTTCTGTTTTCGCCGACTTGTCCGGCTGCATTGCCTGAGCTGCAGGGCAGACGCCTCCGTGCATGCGGGATGTTTTTTCCATCCGTTTGGTGCACAACGGCTGCTGCAGGACGGGGCTCAACGGCATGCGTGCCTTCTGGCAATCCGCGGCTGCTGCCGCTCTGCGATGGAGAACTGGGTATTCGTTTTCGGTGGATCGGGTGCGGCAGCGATCACGCCCTTGCCGTCTCGCGCTCGGGGTGTCTGTACACCTGGGGAGCCGGGCAGAACTACCAGCTAGGAACAGGCGACGATCCGGTGCTTCTCCCTTCGCCTGCTCGAATTGATCCGCAGAATTTCAAGAATCAATGCGTTCTCCAGGTGGGAAAAGGCATGTTGCGAAGCTCGGCGATGCATGTCGTGCGACCATGTTCGGCGGGTGTGTGTGTTTGTGTGTGGACCAGTTTGTCTGCCTTGAGGCTGCTCCTTGAGGCTGCTTTCGGCAAATTCAAGGTTTTTGACGGAGGAGGGGATGGGAGGAGGGGCAAGTCTTTTTTTCCTTGTCTCTCATGGAATAAGAAGGGGGAAGGGGGAATAACTGTGTTGACTGTGGAACTGTTTCGCGTGGCGATGTTGCTTCTGATGCGGCAGGCGTGCGGCGGTGCACAGCACTCGACGGTATTGGCGTGGTCAGGCAGCTATGCAGAGGTGCTGCAGCAGCAAGAGAGGCAGCCAACAGCCGAGCAGGCAGTAGCTGCGGCTGCTGAAGAGGAGCGCAAGGAAGGCGATCAACAGCTGAAGCGGCCTCTAGAAGAGGCTGCTGCTACGACGGCAGCCAAGGAAGCGTCGCCACCACCTAAGAAGGCGAAACGTCAGTTGGTGTTCACGCGCTGGAGCTGCTGCTGATGCTGCTGTCGAAGGGTCGCTGAAGCACTTGGCGTTTGCCTTGCTGGTGAGGCATTCGTGCTGTGCTGTGTGTGCGTTGGTTGGTGCTGCAGATGGAGAAGACAGCGCACTCCTGCAGCTGCATGCTCAGACGCGGAGTCAACGCCGCAGCCGTAGTCGAAGCCGTAGTGTTTGCCGTGCACCTTCAGCGAGTGTAGCCTCAGAAGAGACACGTGCCAAAGAAGGGGATAACTTGAACGTGAAATCCATTGAGAAGGATGAGCAGCAGCATGTGCAAGCAGAAGGCCACATGGACAGTGAAACAGCAGAGCCGATCGCTGCTGCCGTAGAACCAGGTGCACCTGCAGATGAGACGGCTGGTGCTGTTGCAAAAGGTGCAGCAGCCGATGCAGCATCTATGGCAGCAGCAGCTGCTGCCATAGAGACCGTTGAAGGGCAGGCGGATGCTGAAGAGAAGTCTGAAGCGTCAGCCCTTGCGCATAAGGAAGCAAGGCAGCGACATCCCGCCGCTGCAAAGAAGCAGCAGCAGCGCAGAGAATCGGTCGTCGAAAAAGGAAAAGTTGAGGGCGATTTGCGAAATGAGGAGCAGAGTGACGGTGAGGAGTCGGCAGCAACAGCAACAGCTGGTGCCAGTGGACGTAGAAGCAGGAAACTGAAGTCAGGAGCTGCAGCTAAGCCCAAGATTTCTACACAGCGCCGTGTGGCTGTATCAGGGCAGGCAGCGCCAGCGAAAAAGGCAGTGACGAGCAAGACAGAGGCGACTGCGGCTTCTGGAGCGAGTGACGATGATCTTGGCGTGAGCGGCAGCAGCAAGGGCGTGCTGCAGCAGAGCAGCGAGAATGAAGCGGAGGCAGCGTTGCATGAAGAGGCGGCAGCGGCTGCATTGTCACCCCAGGAGGCGTCGAAAAAGAGGCTCTCTGTGTCTCCGCGTGCCGGGTCAGATGTGGCTTCCGCAGCTAAGAGCAAAGCATCAGGCAGCGCTGCAAGAACGCGAACAGTGGAAGCTGCAACGAGCCGAAGGGGTAGGTCGGCGCAGGGTGCTGCAGCTTCTGTTGCTGCCGGCAGAAAGGGTAGCAGTGTCACGAGTAGCGGCAAGATGAGCTCCGCAGCTGCAAAAGCTAAGGCGAAGGGCAAACCTGCTGCCGCTCCAAAGAAGCCTGCCACCACTCGAAAAGCGATTAGCAAGCCCGTGCACTCTTCACGGGGACGCTCTAAGGCATCCACGAAGGGCAAAGCCGCTCAGAGTAAGCCTGCTGCTGCTGCTGCCAGTGTTGGCAAGAAGAAGAATGCGGCTCCTGCAGCAGCGAAGAAAAGTGCCTCGCGTCGCGGCGCTGGCAGCAACACGAAGGCACCGGCTGCTGCAAAGGCAGGGGCCGATAAAAAGGCGCAGCCTCAGCAACAACGAGCTTCCCCAAAGCGAGCGCCAGCCGCAAAGGCAACGGGTGAAAGGGGAGACACCCATAAACAGGGAGTGACGAGCTCCGCATCGACGGCAGCCAAAAGCAGCTGCGGCAAAGCCGGCCGCAGCAAGCGAGCAGCAGCGTGAAAAGTAGTGCTCTAGTTAGCCAGCGAGTGCTGGCTTCTTTTTATAGTTCAGTATGTTGGCGCTGTGATGCCGAAGCATCTCCTTGGCCATTATGTAGGGCGTTCCCCCAAGTGTGTAGGTGCGGAGAGACGGCTCTCTCTCTCTCTGCAGATTAGCAGTGTATATGTGAGTAGTCGGTAGATGTCGAATTTGCGAATCGTTTTTACAATCACATTGGAATGTACAATGGCTTACACCTGCCGGCCTGGCGTATGAAGCGGGCTTGTGGCTGCAGCTCCGTAGTGTCAAGCTCGCATGTGCGGTTCTGGTTGCGGTGCCATGGAGGTATCAGAAGCAAAAGGTCTTGCCTGTCGCTTTGGAATCTCTTCTGGCCTTGTTGCACGCGTCTATGTTTCTAGCATTCTGCTGGCGCTCGTGCCACCGTATGGACACCCATATGCGCAGGGGCAGATGTGCCCTACGGGCTGCTGCTACTGTGTTTTCTGGAGACAGACTGGGGCGTTGTGCAAGTTGACGTGACGATGCTCAAGGGGTAGCAGGGTTAGAAACGAACAGCAAGGCCATCCTCCGAGAGATCCTGCTCTTCACTTTAAAAAGGTTAGGGAGGGCGATCCGGGGGATGGCGTAATAGGGCGGAAATCCTCTGTGGGGGTAAACCAGTAACGGGCACCCGAGGATCATGTGTTGGTGACAGCATAAGCCGCTAGACGGGCTAAAGCGGTTTTCTTTAGGCTGCAAGGGCGCTTTCTGTGGGTGTGTCGAGGGGGGGGGCCACTGTCTGCTGCGACACACGCATTAGAAGGCACGTTCATGGCGTACTGGCAGCTGGATCCACTACGTTAGTGTGCTTCAGTAATGTAGACGACGCAGGCATGCAGTGCTGCATCTCCAGATTCCGCTTCTTCTTGTACCTAAGGCATTGAGACGATGAAAGAATTCCTCCTTTTCACGTCTCCGTACATGTTGCAGCCCGCTTCCATGTGCCACCAAGAGTCAGGAAGCTAACTGCGCTTTCGGCTAAACTCTCTTCGTTGCACCTATAGGGCGTGCCTATTCCAGGCTTAAAGTGCAAACAATGGTTTATGTCTTTCGCTTTTGTGTACTCCAGCACCAAACGGGAGAATGACCTCGTAGTGGGCGCTGTAACTCTAAAAGTATCGACGACACGTATAGTGATGTCTGAATATATATATGTGTGTGTCGTCAAGATGCCGCTGAGCATTCTGAGGCCTGCTATATGGTCAAAGGGTAGTAAGGTGGGAAAAGCCCTCGTCATGATCCATCCCGCGCAACATGCTGGCTGTGAACGGTTCTTTCTGAGCGACTGCCGCTCAGCAATGTCTGCAACCAATCAAGAGGCGGAAGCATGGAGAAAGCGCGGCGGATAGCGATTCCCCTTCAAAAGTTCTAGATCTAGCCTCTTCGCTTGTGCGAATTGTGAATAATTCAAGCCGTCCCAATACAAACTTCATCAAGCTGCCGACGTCCAGGCTATTGTCATTCAGGTCCTTTGTGGACCAATCTGTACCCCTCCACTGCCTCATGCTTTTTCAGAGTGACGCGCATCAGCAAACTAGGTTTATTGCTGCCTCAAGTCTCCATCATTCCGGAGATTGGTGGGGGCTAGGGCCATCAGATGCATTCCCTCGATTGGCGCTTTTTATCTGCACTTGGCATTGGCACCCAGTAGGGAGAGCGCCTAAAACAACGTGTACTTGAACGTTCTGCCTGTGTTAAGTGCTTCACTTAATAGTGGGGACCTGTAAATTTATTTATTGATAACCGGCAAGTATAATGCACTGCTTATCCATGAATGCAAAGTTGGGGTCGTGCATTAGTCTATTCCTTGGGGGCTCTGGGCTCCTCTCCGCTATGAGGAACATTAGTGTGCGCATGCGCGGCAAGGAACTACTTGGAATTGCTTGGAGGGATAGTAGTGAGCGACTAGGTTGCCCCTACTGTTCTTAAGCCTTGGACATAGCACTTTGCCTGAGGCCTGCATGTGAAGGCTCTTTTAGCTTCGAGACTCGTGCAAGAGCCAGCAGGAGCCACATAAACTGCCTGCTACAGATAGCTCAGTTAGCTCGCCCCTTTAAATTCAGGCAGTAGGGGAAGGAGGATGGCAGCGGTGCGCGTTGTCTGACCCCATGAGCACTCCAGCCAGCCGCAGACAACTGAGAATTGCAAATAATCGAACCTCCACATACTGCCTTTTTCTTTGGTTTGGGGTCAACTAGCCCTACGCTGCAGCATAGAGAGTATCTTACTGCCCAGAGACACCTTTGGCGATGAATTAAACCTTAATATAACTAGTGCTGTTAAAACTGCCGAGGGGTAGGCTAGCCTGGTACAAAAGCTCTGGTCACTTGATGGCAAGACACCACTACGAGTCACCACATATATCAAGTCCTTTGGCTTGAACAATTTTTCGTTTGCTTGTCGCCCAATGGCGAGTGCTCTTAAGGGAATCAATGCGGTGGCAGAGAGTAGCTGAGCCTGTAGACGGGGGCCTCTGTCCGGACACACAATATTGGTCGAGGCTGCACTTCATCACTTTCCTCCCCTGAGCTAAGCCATCTCTCTTTCAAAGTTTTTGGTACTAGAGTCTTTGTATGTGCTTAGCTTATGGGTGACAATCCGTATAAAATCTCCGCCGAGGGAGACCTAGCTTTATATTCAATGCATACTTGATCAAAAGTTGTTGAGTGTTTATCCAAACGAGCTGCCACCTCCCTGCTCACACTTAATAGGCTTTCCTACATGAAGGTAGAGGGAGAGACAGGGTGCGGTTAGCGGCCTTCTTCAAAACGCCAAGCCTTCCCAAATCGCTGCGCGCAGTATCTACTACACATGCACACAGCACTGAACAATTGTGTGTTGAGCTAACTTTTCTATACAACTAAGAAAAATACGAGCAACCAACCCAAACGGTCAGCTTGTCGTTAACTCTTAATAAAGCATAACCAGTGTAGTAGAAAACGCCAAAATGTAGCAAAGCCCGGTGCATTCTGCCTCTAGTTGCGATTTTAGCAAGGAATTTCCGTCGCACGCTCACGGGTACTCGATGATTCAATACGACTATCCGGTTAGGCATTCGTGTGTGTGCATTCCTACAAAAATACAACAAATTGGCAAATTATTTGCGTAGCAATGTGCTAAACACGAATCCACGGTTGAGGGTCTCCTTCCCTAGGGTCTCCGGCGCTGCGGTCCACCCGCTGTTCCCTTTTCACTCGAAATTACATGCGGAGAGCCTGAATATTGTGCTTGCTGTTATTGTCAAGCATAAGATGCATGCCAAATACATAGCGTCCCTCCAGTCAGTAAATACAGCGGCGGAACGACCTACAGCAGCAGCTGCTGCACGATCCTGAGTATATATTTCAATGTTTACCGCTTAATACCAGCAGCTACTCTGACTATTAAGCCTTCAAAAGCCTTCATAAGCCTACTTGTGCTGTAAAAATGAACGACTTATTCGACAGACGTGTACTAGTCTGTTGCCTCGAAGTGGGCGCCAGCATCATTAGCTGCAGGTCTGACAGTTGACGTCGCTGTGCAAAGGCCTCGAAGTCACTTGTCCGGATGAAAATCCCCATAATTTTCTAGAGGATTCCATTTTATGGATCTTCGAAAAGGGTAGGTGTTCTGAAAGATTCCTTATTTGAGGCTTTGCAGGGCCCTGTTGGCCGTACGGTCTGTCCGACGGCTCGCTCACCTCGGAGCAGTGGCTGTCTTTTTACGAACAAAACCTCGGCGAGGTAGCGAAAACCTAAGGACCTTCAGTGCTAGGCACATATTCGTTTTTTCGTTCAGTGATATTTGACTAATTGGGTAGCTGTCTGTTGCAGCGCGGGAGGGAGGGAGGGAGGTCCCTCAGGCCAAGGTCTCTGGTGTACCGACGCCTGCCTGTGGTTCCGCCACCGGTAACAGCCGGAGTCACGCAGCAGCGGCCGCTACAATGGGAGATTTGCGCGCTCCCTCGACAGCTACAGAGAGGGCAGCTGCGACGATCGCAGCAGCGGCAGAAGCCGCAGCAGCAGAAGAGGCCGCAGCAGCAGAAGAGGCCACAGCAACAGATGAACTCTCTGCATTGCTGTCAGAAGATGCAGTGGAAAGCGAAACTGCGAGGCGGTCGACAGTCGAAGAACCCTGTTACGGAGGTATCTCTGAGGTTTCAGGGGACCACGCGCCAGCAGCAGGCGTCCTAGGCGACAAGAGGTCTAGGGTCCAACTGCCTGCCTCGCCATCTTCATTTATGAAACCCTCGGTTATAATAGCAGGAAAAGCTTCTGAGGGGTACGCCCAAGGAAGCTCTCCTTTAGGAGACCATGGCGCTTCCTTCGGGAAGGGCCCTTCGCGGTCTTGCCAGTGGCTCCGCTGCCTCCCCGTCCTCTTCCTCATGCTGCTAGTGCTCTATATAAACGTCGTCTATGTAGCGGTGAGGCCAACATTACACGTCCAATTACGTATGAGAGGCACTGGGGCAGAGGGCTCCTACCAGAACCCAAGAGGGGTCCCTGTTGGAATGCGAGGGATGGGATCAGCTATTCCTAGAGTTGGTGGTGTATATGGGTACGGCCGCATATGTGTTGATATGGCACATTCTATACTGTGAAAGAGAGAGAGACTTGGAAACCTTCCTGCGTGGACCCTGAGACTGCTGGCTCAAGAAGAACAAATTGCACATTTGTGCGACCATATGCTTATGTGTATATACCTATTTTGAAAATATTTTATTTCCACTTCGAACCGTAGTGCGTCAGTTCCTCTGCACTGTGTGCGGCTGCTCAGTACCACTGCCTTCCGCAGTTGCAACTAGGAAGGCCTTCAGAAAAACGGGATATCCACAAATTCAAAAGGTAGCGACGAACACGCGCACCCCGAAGTAGCCGGCTTTCTGGGCTCCAATTTCTAAACGAGTTTTCTAGCTTGCTTGGTCTCCCGATGTTCTAAATAGATTAATTAAGGGGTGACTTAAATGGTCAGCTAGCTCATGAGCCCGCTCACGGGCTCAGAGATTGTACAGCGCCGAACATTGGGGTCAAGCGGCCAACCCCTGATCCATCCTGTTGTGCGTGTGCTGCTTAAAGGGGGTCCTACGAGCTGATTGCCTTTGCAGCCCTAACATTTTTGTTTATGCTGAGCTACTGGCTAGCAGTAGTGACCCCAGCAGGTTCTATCCCCAAAACTCACGAGTGGGCCCTCCGAGACGAAGCGCCAAGCGGCACGGGTGTCTCTAAACCCGTCGTGAGTTTGCTTGCTTTGAAAGCCTCTCCGCATGATTTGGAGTGGCACTGACAGACGCATGCCCTGTATTGCGAAACCAACCATGCATCCCTCTTGTCAGGGGGTCTAAATAGCTGTAAGGGGGCATCTGAACTGGAGGACGCAGCGGTTTTTGTGTGGATCTAAGTGTCAGAGATTGACCGGCATTCTAAGTAATGTGCGTGGTACATTGAGATGTCGCAAGTTGACCATGTCTCAGTTCCTCTGTTCCTTTTGAATTCTTTGTTGCTACCGCCTTCTGATATGATACAGGAGACCAAACGGAGCGGAGGCCGGAGGGCATGCAAGTGGTGCTGCCAGAGCAAGCCTGACAGGGCGCACCACTGCCGTGTATGCCGATCGTGTGTCCTCAAGATGGACCATCACTGCCCTTGGATATTCAACTGCGTCGGATGGGGGAACCATAAATTTTTTTTGCTTTCACTCGTATGGGGAGCAGCACTGGCTTTGTTCGTGGCGATCACAATGCTGGTATCCGTAAGAAAAGCCATTAAAAGCGAAGAGGTACATTTGAGGCATAGCAACAGGGAGCAAAAGGTGTCAGAAGAGGCACAGGGCAGCCTAGGGAAAATAGCAAAGCAAGAGTTCCAGACAACGCCCTAAGAGGAGTGTAGGAGGGCAGATGTGAGAAGGATGAAGGGGAGGGCTAGCGGCAGCGGAGGATACCGAATGCAGCGGCAGCGTGCTTCAGTCTGATGGCGAGCGTGGCAGACTAGCAATCTGCAGCGATGTACGATGCAGAAGGGGACTTTGGGCAAAAAGGGTCGCAAATCTATCCATATCCACCAAGAATTCTGCTTCAGTGTTCGTTTTCTGTCGGTTGGTGGCGCAGGCTTCATTCGAAAGAGTGTTTATGTTGCTGTTTGCCGAGACACTGGATATATTTCTGTGCGCCCTCATTTTGGGGTTTCTAATATTCCACTCATTGTGAGACTCACCTCACTGAATCGTTGTTCCCCTTCAGTATAAGAGTGCAGGGCGCAAGAATTTGCATCAATGAATGGATAACGCGGGCAGTGAGCGCACTGTATATGTGCGAACATATTGCTGCACCATGCTGAGCCCACTTTCACGTGGAGGATGCCGTATATGGAATACAGAGCGTAGACATGTAGGCGCACGAGGCATATTCTAATTCGTGAAATAGCCATTTTCATGCACAGTTGTATGTAGCTGTCCTCAATACAATGTATACCTTGGCTGACTGGGAAAACGTCAACAGACTTACTACAAGTGCTTGCTAGTGGCTGTACGATTCAGTTTGGTGGTCAATGCCATCACGACGATAGAGTTCTGCGAGAAACAATTCAGGAAGTCTCCTTTTGATTCTACGCTAGAGGTACATTTCTTGCTTAAAGCAGCCGCTGTGAACAAATGGGAAGCATGGACGTTGGAGAAGTACATCACAATTCATGATATCACGGCAGAAAACTGCATTTTATGGCTGTACGAATATAGGTGTCATGGTCTCATGGCTTTTGGAAGAACTTTACGGACGCTTTTGGCCCCGACCCTCTTCTCTGGTTTTTCCCAGTTGGTAAGCCTGGACCGCGTGGATTATCATATTTACGGAGCAAGTAGCGTACAGAACATACGACCTAAACCTTGTAGAATGACTTAGCAAGGCACTTGTGCGTCTCCTAGCAAGTAGAAAGAAATGGCCTGCGTGCAGTCAAACAGCACACCTAAAGGCCCCCTACTGCATGAATGGCAGCACGATGCTTTCTTTGGAGTCACATGCAGACTCCTTAAACACCTGAGAGTGTGCGTTCTAGCCGCTAAGACAGTGCGACTTCTCCGCCTGGTTTGGTAAACTCTGATTGCAGATAACCGCTTTGGAGACGGAACTACCTTTACTCCTGGATCCAGCTTGCACTACGATTCAGTGAACGTAGAGAAGCACGTAAACAGGACGCTCAGTGCCTCGAGGAGGTGGGTTTACACACACCCTTCCAGTGGCGAATACCTATGTCTTTAGCTGAGCCGTTCACAGCTGCAGACACGCGACCACGTGGCTGTACCTCAGTAATCGTGCAGCAAGGAGGCAAGACGTAGAAGTCCTAAGAGCTTGGTTCAATTGTGAATATTCTGAATGTGCAGATACAAAGGGTTTTCCCCCATTGTTGATGATGATTCATAGAAGCTGGGCACCTGCGTAGTATTGTTCTGGAGACAGAGGCATATTCGTGAATGACATCAAGAGGAAACGCAAGAAGTAGGGAAGAATTGATGGTCTTTGTTGCTAGAACCCCAAGAGTCTCGATGCTACAAAAGGTGGAGCTATCGGCTACAAGCTCTGCTATGCGTAAATCTTATTCAAAATATCCGAGGTCTCAGAAAAGGCTGAAAGGGGTTTAGAGGCCGACAGGGTCTGCGCGCTGGAAACTAAGCAACGAAGCTCTCCAGTACGTGGACGAACAAAGTCAAGTGTGTACAGGTTTTGGCACTCGAGAGTGGCATTGATTATGTCTGGATGAAGACGGGGAATATAATTCCAATAGTGGAGGTGCCGAAGTTTCTGCCCTCTTCAAAATCCCGCTTGAGGGCTACGCTGCCTTCGCGACACCCATAAAGCTTCAATACCAGCATTTATGTGAAAGGTATCTTTTTCACCTTTAGAGTAACGACTGTAGGCACGCACTCGTTGATCACTGTACTCACAGGTCTGCAAGAGGTTGCAGTAAAAGCTATTGCAGAGGACGGTTATATAACCATGTGACTAGCAAGGTTTGTTAATAACGGCCTTGCTGGAACTCACTAGTTGCAGCACTTTTCCAGTAAAGCTGTGCAATGGGTTCTGGTGAAGTGATTGTCAGTGTAGCATCTATCGAATGTGGACTTCGCAAAAATGGGGTGATAGGTGACTACGAGACGCTGCAATGAACAATACATGAATCATGAGTGCCGGAGGCTCTGTCCCCCCGTACACGTGCACAACCATTTTGTGATATCTTCCCAAAGACACTCTCAGCAAGTGGAACTACTCGGGGATTTACCCTCCACAAAGCTTAAACCCTTTCCTCTATATTCTGTAACTTGGGACCGGCTGATTAAGGCATCAATACGTCCCTCGCAAGAAAGCCTGACAGAGGGAAACGCAGAACCTTTGAACACCAGTCAATGGTTTTACATAGGAGACCCAAGACCTCTGCCGTCACCGCCTGCATTGGAAGGCAACCCAGTTGCAGGCGGACGAATGCCCAGTAGAACGCAGCGCGCAGCTGCAGGCTGCAGCCTGGTCTCGCAAACTCCAGACAGCTGGTATAAAACACAGCGTAGTATGCCACTCATTAGTGTTGAGGGCTGTGCGCTAGATGCCTCTACGTGGTATCCATTGCTGTCGTAGAGAGCACAGCGCTGGCATGGCATGGAAAGTATCCCTATGCTTTTTTATTACATCCATGGGAGAAGGGAGGCCTCTCAAAGCTGAGGCGTGGACTCTATTCGAAAACGATCGAAGCCCTTGAATCACCTTCTCTAGTCCGCTGCTGTCATGAGGTCGCAGAATTCATAAAAATCAACATAGCTGCAAAACGCATATACCACATCTGCCCTATCTCATGGCCCTGTGGCTCCACAAGCATACAGTCGATCCACTATTGATTTGACTCCTACGGATGCATCAGGGAAGAAGAGCAATCGCAGTAACACCACGCATCACGCACAGATAGTGGTTGAAACATACCCATCAGAATTCTTATCGATTTCTGCGAAGATCATCTGCAGCTCTCCGTCCGTAAGAACCCCGTACCTGCATTCCACAAATGGCATGAATGAGACCTTTGAAGTGTGTTTCAAAAACGATGAGGGCTCTAATCTAGCTCACAAAGCGTCGAAATAATGTGTATAAAGGTCTCAATGGACTGGAGGCACCTCCACTGGTCGGCCTAGTGATTCAAGCTGCTGTCTATCCTTTTCTCTCTCCTTCTCCCTTTCTCTCGCTCTCTCTCTCTCATTACTTCCTTCTTCTTCTCGCTCTCCCGCATACATCAGACACGACACAACCAAATAGATCTATCGAGTATCTCGAGCGAGCTAGCTTCCGATAACTACATGTGAGTGTTCGTACTCTGTATTACTCTTGACATGTAGTTCTACTGATCAGTCTTGTCTTGTACTCCTACATTTATTTATTTCTTCTATTTTGCAGTGGTAGATTGTTTT